TTTTTTTTTTTTCTTGAAACTACTATGAAGGGAACTGTGTCCTTGATTAGCTTCTCATCTTGGCTATTGTTGGCATATGCAAAGGCTACTGATTTGTGGACATTGATTTTATATCCTGAGACATTACTGTATTTTTTGATCACTTCCAGGAGTCTTGGGGTTGAATCTTTGGGGTTCTCTAAGTATAAGATCATATCATCAGCAAAGAGTGAGAGTTTGACCTCCTCTATACCCATTTGCATGCCCTTTGTTTTCCCATCTTGCCTGATTCTATTGGCTAGAACTTCCAGCACTATGTTGAATAGTAGCGGCGATAGAGGACAACCTCGCCTGGTTCTAGTTCTAAGTGGAACAGCTTTCAGTTTTACTCCATTTAGTACAACATTAGCTGTGGGTTTGTCATAGATGGCTTCAATCAGATTCAGAAATGTGCCACCTATGCCTGTATTCTTAAGTGTTCTAATTAGAAAAGGATGCTGAATTTTATTGAATGCTTTTTCTGCATCTATTGAGAGGATCATATGGTCTTTGTTCTTCTGTTGATATGGTGAATTACGTTTATGGACTTGCATATGTTAAACCAGCCTTGCATCCTTGGGGTGAAACCTACTTGATCATGATGTCTGATTTTTTTAATGTGTAGTTGTAATCTACTGGTTAGGATTTTATTGAGAATTTTTGTATCAATAGTCATTAGTGAGATTTGCCTGAAGTTCTCCTTTTTAGCTGGGTCTTTTCCTAGTTTTGGTATCAGAGTGATGTTTGCTTTGTAGAATGTATTGTTCCTTCTTAGTTTTTTGAAATAATTCCTGCAGTATGGGTATAAACCCTTCTTTGAAGGTTTGATAGAATTCTGATGTGAAGCCATCTGGACCACAGCATTTGTTTGTTGGGAGATTTTTTATTGTTTCTTCCATTTCAGTGTTTGAAATTGTTCTGTTCGAGAGATCTAGTTCTTCTTAGTTAAGTCTAGGGAGAGAGTCTGATTCTAGGTATTGGTCCATTTCCTCCACATTGTCAAATTTCTGGGCATAGAGTTTCTTGTAGTTCTCAGACATGAGCTCTTGTATCTCTGTAGCATCTGTGGTTATTTCCCCTTTATCATTTCTGATTGGGGTTCTTAGAGATTTTACTTTTGTATTTCTAGTTAATCTGGCCAAAGGTTTAACTTTTTTATTGTTTTGAAAAACCAACTTTTTGTTTTGTGAATTTTCTGAATGATTTTTTTATTTTCAATTTTATTAATCTCTGATTTAATTTTAGTTATTTCTTTTATTCTGCTGGATTTGGGATTAAATTGTTCTTATTTTTGGCCAATCCGTAAGATGGTTCATGAGTTTGTTGATGCACTCTCTTTCTGTTTTTCAAACGTAGGCATCTAATGCAATTAATTTCCCTCTTAGAACTGCTTTGCCTTATCCCACAGGTTTTGGTAACTTGTGTCTTCATTGTTGTTATGTTTGAGGAATTTAATAATTTCTTCTTTTATCTCTTACTGAACCCCACTGTCATTCAGCACAGGGTTGTTTAATTTCCATACTTTTGTGGGGGGATGAAAGTTTTTGCTGGAGTTGAGTGCACCTTTATTGCCTTGTGGTCTAAGAAGATACAAGGTATAATTTCTATTTTTTAAATTTTGCTGAGGTTTGATTTGCATCCTATGATGTGATCTATTTTGGAGTATATTCCATGTGCTGATGTGAAAAATGTATATTCTTTAGCTTTTGGATAGAGTATTGTGTATATGTCTATTAGTCCTATTTGTTCTAGGGTCACACTTAAGTCCTTTGTATCTTTGTTTAGTTTCTGT